TTAATTTTTTTTTAATGTTTTATTTATTTCTAGGAGAGAGAGAGAGAGACAGCATGAGCAGGGGAGGGCCAGAGAGAGAGGGAGTCACAGACTGAAACAGGCTCCAGGCTCTGAGCTGGCAGTCAGCACAGAGCCCGACGCGGGGCTCGAACCCACGAACTGCGAGATCGTGACCTAAGCGAAAGTCGGACGCTCAACCGACTAAGCCACCCTGGCGCCCCCCTTCCTGGCTGTTCTGTGCAAGGGCACAGAGCTGCCAATCAGTGGGTTCCCTGGTGAGGACACCCAGAAATAGGGACCACCTTACGGGCCTCTGCTCAGGGGATTCCTAGGGATTCCCCTCATCATTGGTCATCAGCTCCCCCCCACTCCCTGCTTTAAGTTATCAGTGCCGTTTGTGAATTTCAGGGTTTACTTTTACTGGCCTGCATTTCTTCAGTGCGATACATGCCAGGTATCATATTAACTGCTTTGAAACCTTGTATTCTCATAATACCCCTATAAGGTGGGTAGCTCTCATTACTCTGTCCATGAACACACTTTAGTTAAATCACTGGCCCAGGGTCACCCGGCTGGTGGACGTCAGAGCCAGTGTTTGAGCCCCGGCCCACACTTAACTGTGAGGCTGTACTGCCCCTTAAGGAACACACGGACTTCTGCACACGTTTACATGTCTACAGTCTCGTGTCCTCCTGTGTGTACGTCCTGTGTCCCTCTTTCACAGATCAGAAAAATGAAGTGTTGATGGGCGGCTGGCCCGGGAATGGGTTATAGGTCTGCTCACTCCACCTGGAAAAGTATGGTCAAGGTGTGCACACATCCCACTCTGAGAATAGAGTTGTTAAAAAATAAAATATACTGGAAAATTGAGAGGAAAAAGAGTAAAGAAAACACAAAGACCGGAATCTTCTGTTTACAAAGCCCTATAAGAGGGGCTTCTTTTTATTGCATTTTTACTAAGTGCCAGGCATTGTGCTTAGCACTTTACAAACGTTATTTCAGTCAGTCCCCCAGCAACCCCAAGATTCTATTATTGCCACCATTTTACACTCGCGGTCATTGATGGGTAACAAGTTAAATGACCGGTCTAAAGTCACACAGCTCGAGAGAAAGCGAGTCAGGATTAGAACTCGGGACACCGAGGTCCTCCCACTTCCCATGCGGTAACACCACCAGTCCGGGTGTTTGGTAATTAGACCCACTAGAACGGAAGCTTCCGATCCGGGTTGTGCGCCTGCGCAGTGCTCGCCCTGCTGGTCGCTGCGGACGCGCCGAGCGCGTGCAAGAGCGAGGAGGGGCTGGGTTCTAGCGGCCCAGGCCTCGCGTCCGCTCCCCAGCTGGCCTTCGTCCGCCGGTGCGTCCGCCCCTTCTCCGCAGCTGGCAGGGGCTCCCTCCTTAACGCCGGCCACAGATCGAGATCTCCATCTACGAGGACCGGTGCAGCAGCGGCAGCTCCAGCAGCGGCAGCAGCTCCGGCAGCGGCAGCAGCGGCGGCGGCGGCGGGGCGGGGGCCCGGTGACTGGCCGAGAGTCCCTGCAGGGAGGTGTATGGCCGGACTGAGGGCCTCTCAGACCTGCGGCGGCTGCGCTACCAGAGCACCCGCTTCTGAGTCATTCTCTGGGCCCCCGCTGCTCCCCTGGGTGGGGGGCGGGAGGAAGGGGGACTGGCCTGGTGTTTCCCGCGGGCCAACTACCCGCGCCCCCTTTTTCCCCCTCCTGCCTCTCGCCCCGGCAGGACGGCCTGCTTCCTGACCTGGCACTTTCTCCTCATGGGGCCTGGCGGGTCACACGCAGCCAGATCTTCCAGGGAAAGGCTGGGGCGGGGTGGGGGTGGGGGTAACACAGTTTAGACAGCCCTTTTCTTCTGCAGCTCCTTTCCCCACACCCCGGACGGGGGGGGGGGGGGTTGCTCAGGTCCCAGAGAGAATGCCCTTATCCCGCACGGACGGGGGGGGGTGTGTGTGTGTGTGTGCTCAGGTCCCAGAGAGAATGCCCTTATCCCGCATGATCCCTCACCCCGAATCCCCCAGGGTCCTGCTCCCCGTGGCTGTCTCCCAGTGTCTGCTCTCTCTGGTGCCACTGCAGGGGCTCTGCCTGTCTGTGATCCTGCCTCCACCAGATTCGAGGTCTGGGGAGACGGGAGCTGCCCTGTCCCCCTCTTCTAGGCTCCTGGCTTCCCCTTCCTCCGCTCAAAGCCTGGAGGCCACCTTGGCCTTGCCAAGAAATAGCCAACTCCTGAGATTCTGCAGGACATCAGGCACTGGTTGAGGGGCACACAGCCGGGGGCGCTGCGAGGTTATCCAGGGGTCTGGAGAAACGCTTAGTGGAGACATGTAGCCTTGGGAGGTTTGAACCTCCAGAACTGGAGCCAACTTCCTGAGATTAGAACCTGTGTGTATGTGAGAGTGTGTGCGTGTGCATGCAGGCACGTGTGTGAGTGCATATGTGTGAGTGCACTGTGTGCATACATGCACATGTGTATGGGTAGGTGTGCGCATGAGCGCACATGTGGATGTTCATGGGTGAGTGCAGCTGTGTGAGTGTATGTACACGTGTGGTCGTACCTGTGAGTGCGTGTGTGTGTGTATGTGACCGTGCACTTGTCTGTTCCCCTTGGTTGCCAGGCCAATGACTGCCCCTCTCTGCATCCTGTCTTATTTTTGTATGTAATGGTCTGTGGCTGCTTCCCTGCAAGGGGCCAGCCTGTCCCCTTGTAAATAAATGTCCTAAAGCTCCTTGCCCCTTGCCTGGGGCTGCCAGCTTGGCTCTCCTTCCTGGTCTTTCCCCTGCCTACAGAGTCTTCCCCACCTTCTGATTCTACTGTGTACATTCTAGGAGAAGAGAAGCTGGAGGTCTAGGAGAGCCAGCCTTCTGGGACCTTCTGTGTCCCTCCCCCAAGCTCCCCGTGACAAGGCAACAGGGCCACACATGCTGCCCGTTCAGCCCACCCAGGCTCTGGAGCTCTCCAAAGCTGTGTAAACAAGGCTTCTGTGGATGTTCAAAGGAACTGGCAACCTGCAGGGGAAAAGGCAAACTCCTTTCTTCAAAGGGAAGGGAAGCATCCCACCAATGAGGCCCCACTTGCCAAGGCTCAGGGCGGCCAGTGGGAAGGAAGCAGCCCCGGCCCTGTGCCCTGAAGACGGACAGAGAGAGGCTGCCTGCCCCAGCCGGCAGGAGGTGCTACCAGTGCATGTGAAAGACCAGCTGCTGCAGGTAGCTTTCTGGAACCAAAGCGGGGCCTGATTGTTTTTGGACAAGAGAGCAGTGTGTGGGAGGGAGGTGCCTACCCAGGGAGCTGGAGAAGGCAGCTCCTGAGCCTGAGGGGGGCAGGTCCTGGTCCAAGGATCCCCCATAGAGGGCTGCAGCCTGGCCCATGCCCATTCTGGCCCACTGTGTGGCCGGGCCTTACATCTGACCTGTGCCTCTCCTGTGGGATCGCCGGGCACAGGTGATGCAGTGGCCTTTGTTTTTATTATTTCTTTTTCCAATAAAAGGACTTGCCCAGCTTGAGGCTCTGTGCCCCTTCTGTCCCCGATGGTGATGCGGTGCCAGTACTATGCCCCAGGGCCACAGTGAGGGGATGCCCGGCTGCCCACCAACCTCATGCCAACGAGGTAGGGCTGAGTGTGTTCTTGAAGCAGCAGTGAGGCTGACGTGGGCAGGACCACCCCTACTTTCTTAGAGCTTGTGGTCTAGTGGGGAGGCTAGGCTCTGGATCCTCTAACCTGGAGCCTTTATGGGGCACTTGCAGCCTTGGGTGGAGGGAGCAGCTTGACTGAAAGCCAGGTCAAAAGTCAGTAATGAGTAGATAAATACCCATGTCTTGAGCTCTGACCCTGGGTTGGGCTCTTTAAGGGGTTGGATCACAGAAGTAGTTCAGTTTTAAAGGCTAGAAAAGCATGTGGGTGTTGGAACCTAGCAGAGTCATATCCTGGATTTTATAAAACTAAGTAACACTTATTGAGCACCTACTGTGTACCAGATACTTTGGTAAAACCACATGCTAGAGCTGGGAGGGGATTTAAAGATCATCTAAACGAGGCAGAATGGAAGCCCAGAGAGGTCACATGACTTGCCCCAGTTCACACAGCTGAGTGACAATGATACCAAATTCAGATCCAAGATCTCCTGACCCAGTGCTCAGTCTGATACCATGCCGACGGCATCTTGATGGAAGTTGCCTGCAGGGTGGCCAGAGTCACACTCTCTGGTCTGTGGACCAAGAGAGGATCTCACCAGACTGTGGGGACAATGGCTCCAGCCCCAGGGTGGAGGCTTTGGGGAGCTCCTCTCTGGGTGGTGCTGAAGGGGACTCTGGGTGGCTTTTACACTCGTGCTTGCGGCTCCTAAGGGGCAGCTTGGCCTTTGCCTGAGCCCTGGGGCAGGCTGGACTCACTGCCTCTGCTCAAACCTGGCGCGTGAGGGGTTGTCACAATGGAGGCTGTTCTTTAACATGTGGGTAAATTCATTCTGTTCTATTGGATAGGTTATGATTCGTAGTAATAATAAACAATAGTAGCTAACATTTATCACTATGAGCCATGTGCTAGGCTAAGATGCCACATAATCATTCAGTCTTCACAACAATTGTATGGTGTGGATTATTATTCTCATTTTACAGATGAGGAGACTGAGGCTCACAGAAGTTAAATAACTTGCCCAAAGTTACACAACTAGGAAGTGGAAGAGCTTGGTTGTGAATCTAGGCAAAGTTAATCCCGGTTTAGGGACCCTGTCAGAGCTTGAGGTCCTCAGCCATCCTAGGTTAGGATTTGGCAGATTCCCAGTTAAGGACTTGGAGCTGTGTCTGGTATCTCCAAGCCCAGGGCTGGCACTTCTAGGCAACATAGGAGTGTGGGTGGGCTGTGCTCTTCAACGGCAGAGCCACAGGGGCAGCCTGGTGAAGGGCAGAGCGGGAGAAGCAGGTGAAGCATGGCTTCTCTCTCCCTGGTTCTTTTCTGCTGGCTCAGTTATGGGGAAAGTGGCCTCTCCCTTGGGTTGGGTCACAGCCACGTCTCTGCGTCCCCCTCGCCAGCCAGGAACAGGCCCCGTCAGGCCCCAGGGAGCAGAGGAACCCCCAGGAAGCTCCGGGTGCCATTCCCCAGTAGTCACTGCTGCCAGACTCTGCTTTCCAGCTTCCGTTGGGGTGTGTGAAAACCACAGGTTTACAGAAGCTTGTGGTGCCGCCGAGCGGCAGAATCGGGCACTGCACCCCGGAATCAAAGCAGCCTGGGAAACAACCCCAGGGCTCCCAAACTCTTTGGGGCAAAGATGGAGTCCCGTTGGTGGTGACTCTCCCTACGGCCAGTCCTCAGGTGCTGCTTTTTTCCTGGGAAACCCCAGCTCCCTTGTCCACAGCTCCGGAAGGACTTAGAGTAAGGAAAGTTTCTGGCAGGCACCTACACTTCGTTTGGGCTTCACTGTTTACGAAGCATGAAGGCAATGCAAATACCACTCCTAATGAGATCTGAACTGGAGTTCAGGCTTTATGAGAGGAGCACATGGTGGAGACTCTCTGCGCCTCAGTTTCCTCCCCCAGATGTAAGATAGGGGTACTAATAATTTACAAAATTGCCGGGGCCAGTGCCTCCCATCTTTGGCTGCAATCTGTGTCACCCAGGGAGCAAGAGAAACCACTGACGGCTGGACCCAACCCCAGAGATTCTGATTTCATTGTTCTGGGGTGCAGCCTGGACATCAGGACTTTTAAAAACTTTAAAAAGTTTTCCTGGAGGTTCTAGCATGAAAACAAGGTAGAGAACCCCCGATTTTGACAGTGCCCAGAGCCTATGAGCCTTTTCACAGGCCTCTAAAGGTGTCTGAGGCCCAAATAAAAGTTTATCAGTTCCACAAAAGCAACAAGACACAAAATGAGTACCAGCTATGATTCTACTTGTAACGTATTCTAATACGGGAAGGGTATTCTACGGTGTTAGATGTCAAGACAGCAGCTGACCTGGGGTGGGGTGCTGAATGGAAGGGGGGCTAGGGAAGCTCCTGGGTGCTCATGATCTGTTTTCTCCGGCAGAGTGCTGGTTACACAGGCGGGCTCACCTTTGAGAATTCACTGAGCTGTACACTTAAGATTTGTATATTTTTCTATAGGTATGGTACATTTCAATAAAATTTACCAAAAAAGTTTATGGGGTCCAAAGTAGGAAAAGAAAACACAAAACTGAAATTAATGTTTCGTTACATACCTACAAAATGTAACACTGACAAACAGTCCACTGTAATTCAACTGAACCCTATGTGTGTGTGTGTGTGTGTGTGTGTGTGTATGTGTGTGTAATTTAGTGTGGGTTGTGGATATATATGACCATGTCTGATATAATGAGGGGTGGGGTCTCCAAAAGATTAGAAGGTGTCTGGTACCTAAGAAAATCTTAAAACGGCCAGGGTTTACACCAGGAGCTCTTAACCTTGACCCCACCTCTTTTACTTATTTGCAAAATAATGTGCATTTATCTGGGGAAGAGAGTTCACAGGTTTCAGCAGATTCTCACAGGAGTATGTGACCACCCGCTAAAAACTGGTTGAGAGCACCTGGTTTTGAGGAATCTGAGAACCTGGCCTAGAATGTGCCTAGTATGACATGGGTGTTTGGTCATGTCAGTTTCTTTCCTTTCAGAGTCCTGCCTTCTGAGGTTTCCATACGACCCTTCTCAGGCAACTTTGGGAGGATTTACTCTCTTGGCAGCGCCCAGGGCAGACTGTGCGGAGCTCACGGCTCTTCCTCCAAGGGGCTATTTAATGGGCTTGTCATTTCAGCACCTGCCGGATGGCAGAACTTAGCCGGGCAGCCTGGAGCTGCACGGGGCCTTGCGGTTGTGAATCAGGGACCTCGAAGGAGGTGGAAGAGTGGGAAGGGGGAGTCAGAAGCCTTCATCAGTCTGCCGACCCCTAGGGCTGCACTCGGCTATCCCAAGTCCCAGCTCTGTCATCTGTAAAATGAGAGCACGATGAAAATGCATCTTGGTGAATGAGAATTTATTTCTCCCAAGTAAAATATTATTGTTATTGCCGAAGTTACACGAGGACCTCATTATACAGTGGCCTCATGATACAGATTTATAACCGGGTTTCAGATTCTTGCATAGAATAAACGTATTTGTCCACGGGTCACTGGTTCCCTGATATAACCCCGGAATATTCATGTATATTACTATTTAATTTAGTTCTCTAACACTCTGGTGAGTGGTTATATTTGGATTCTTATTTTATAGATGAGGAAACTGATGTTCCAGGTGGTTAGGTAGCTTGACGAGCACCCACAGCTAGTAAGTGTCAGAGTAAAGACCCGAACCTACGTGTCAGACCCCAAATTCTGCTCTCATTCTGCCAGCGTGTCACAGTCGGGTGAAAAACTCTCTTCTACCTGAATTGTCTCATAAAGACAGATTCCAGACTCGGGGAGAAGCACATGGGCAAATGCGGACACAGAAGAATTAGCTTTGCAGAGGCATGATGGGGCTAGTTATTCTGGAGTAATTCAAGTTATCGATTTCTGTAATGGAAAAGTGATTGGGGACCAGCTACCACCTGAGAGCAGCCTGAGCCAGGCCCTGGAAGGGGGAAATGTTATACATAGCTTACTGGACCTTGTGAATGGCAATGGCCTTCTTCCCTCTGTCCCCACTTCCTTGGTAAACTCTTGAAGGGTGGGGATCTGGTCTCACTCACCTCCAGCACCTCCCCCCCCCCCCCCCCCCCCGTCCCCAGTGCACAGAGTAGAGTGCTGGGCTCTGGGGCTCAGGGGTGGGACTGGGGGCGTGCCAGGGGACCGGCTGGACAGAGCTGCCGTGGCCACTTATGAACTCTTGTGACCTTGACCACGATACAGCTCCCCTCCGAGCCTCAGTTTCCTCTTCTGTAAACCCCGCTGGAAGAGCCACTCCCTCCCCCTGCCCCACCCTCCCGGAAGGTGATTGAGGGGATGGAAAAGATGCATGAAAATGTGACAAGCCGTTGGAATTCAATAAATGGTGGCTGTTATCACCGAGGAAGTGGGCGTTTGAGCTGGAATTGATTTTTAAAAAATATTTAACCCACCTATTCCCACTGAAAAATAGGTACAATAAAACCAGGGAGCCATTAAAACAGGGATGGGAAGAAACAAGGACCAGGGGAAGACACTGAGCTGGGGATCCCGTAAGAATGTGCCCCGTGCCCTTGGCCACACCGGGAAGCTTTCAGCCTGGATGCCCATGGCACGTGTTTTCCACCCCGCCAACCTCTGACCTTGTTCCTGGGTGTGGCCCCCTGCTAAGCCGTACCACCTGCCACCTGATGCCGGTGTCCCGTCTACCGAGAGACCCCGGATCATGCCCACCCTTCTATCTTATGTTCTTAGGGGGCTTGGGGGGTCAGCTTGGCTCCTGGCACCTACCCTGGCCCTGCCCAGACAACACCTCAAAACTAGGTTGAACAAGTCTGTTGCAACTGAATGTAAATGTGGCTTTGAGCTTCCCGGCAGCCAGAGCAAGATGGGGAATGAGATTTTAC